GACAGTGCGGAACTGAAGGATGGAAACTCGAGAAAATGTGGCTGCTAGATCCAGAGTAGGCCGGAGACTCAGGAGCAGGCTGGAGTTAGTAGCCCAGAGACTCAACACAGGCGGGAGATCTGGAGCAGAGCTCTAGTCTTCTCCTGGCTGTGGTTACTGAGCTGGTCAGCTTCTGAGGACAGCAAGGTGCTCAATCTGTGGGCTTGTCCTAACATCCCCTTCCCACCCCAAACCAATACTGCTTGATGTGACTGAACTGTGAAAAGTTATGATGTCTGTAAGAGCTCCCAATTAAAAAAAAACTGGTGCTGCTTATTTGGTAATAAAATGATGTTTTCCAAAACAATAATCCCAGTGCACGCTGGTTTATATGAAAAGAATATCCAGGAAAAGCAATGCACATTCTACGTTAAACTTTCATTTGCTTTTTCAAATAGTTTTGTCGAAAATATTTTTGTTCTGCTAAACATATGGCTTAAGGCCTTTATATATTTTTCTCACATATACCTTAGTTGTCAAATATCTTATAGATATTCTGGAAGGTAACCTTTTTAATGAAACTGCATAATTATTACTGCTATCTCTCTTACAAAAGATGAAGTATAATTGTAAATACTGAAAAAATGAAGCATGTTATAATTTGTGTTGTCAACTTCAAAAGCATATCCTTTTCAAACCTGCTAACCTTAGACATATTACTGTTACTAATTTATTGTTGTTTTGTTTTGTGCATACATTTATTTTTTAAAATGGATGCCACACTCTGTATTAGCCAAGATAAACTTCCCACTAATTTCCTTATTTATTGTACCTCTCCCCTAACTATTGGGCTTTAATATGAGATTACAACTGATTTAAAGAATCATTTCCATGAAAGTAATTGAGAAAGAGTCAGAATATATGGGTGTAATAAAATTATTTTAAACAGTGAAGCAACTTTGAATATTTGAGGATGGATTTTTATTTTTTCTTGACGCCCATTCCAATTCTTGAATCACATTACTATACGATAGCAAAAGGAATTTTTGTTCATTTTATTCATCCTTGGATTAATTCATATAGTATTTGATAATTTATAAAATGCTTCACAGATATATTATTCAAACAACAATTACACTGGGAGACATACAGAAAAATAGTCATGTTTATAATGTCATGTTTTTATAGGTTCTATTTGTCAAGTACTTGCTATATAATGTTATATGTGTGTATGTATGTTATATGTACATGTGTTGTATATACATACACACACACATAGACACGTCACATGCAACTCCCTGTCATCGAGTCAGTCCTGAGTCATTGTGACCCTATAGAGCAGAGTAGACCTAACCTGTGCATTTCTGAGGCCGTCAGTCTTTACCTGAGCAGAGTCTTATCTTGGTCCTGTGGAGTGGCTGGTGGGTTTGAACTGCTGATCTTGTAATTAGTAGCCCAACATGTTAACTACTATGCCACTAGGGCACCCACATTTGACATAAGTCATCATTTTTCCCATTTTACAGATAGGGAAATTAATGTTTAAAGTTAAGCTAGTTAAATCATATCTTGGCAGGTGGTAACCCTATCTCCAGATCTGTTTAGCCCCAAACCCATCTTGTTTTCACTATGTCATATTGCTCCCATCTGTCAGATGAAAAACATAGATGACTAGTCCAAACCCACATAGCTAGTAAATGACAGAACTTAGACTTATTATTAGGATTCCTCAAATCACATCTGACATAATGTGTGCTAGGTACTGCAGACACGGAGCCTCTGCATGACACTTGCATTCAGAGCAGTAAGCGACTGACTATAGAACAGTGGGCCAGAGAAATGTAAATACAAAGTCACTATAAACCTGAAGTCACTCTATTTAAAATAAGTACCTATATACTGACAGGTATTTTGTATGTAAAATGCTACTAAACATCCATTTTCTTTGTCTTTTAGTACGAAGAACTGGAATACACCACTTATATTTGATCTCAAAGAAGGAACTGTTAGCCTGATTCTGCAGGCAGAAAGGTAGTTTGCTATTATAATTGACTATTCAACTTGGGGTTAAAACAATTGTAAACCACTTTTAAAAATGTGTCCTTCACAAAATGCTGTATCAGTCATTTGAAGTCAATCTAGTCTACTATTAATAGTTTTAAAGGAAAATGAAAGAATAAAAAAAAAGCTCTTAAGTCAGTAGTTCTGAAACTCTTTAGTCTCAGAATTTCCTTACGTTCTTGAAACATTGGGGGTTGTTTGTGTACTATATATACATACATATGTGTGTGTGTATATACATGTTATATGTTTACTATATACAAAAACATGCATATGTATATATACCCACATATACCAATAGCTTCTGTTTAGAAATTTAAACTAAAGATTTTAAATATTTTTACCATTTTAAAATGGTTAAAATAAACTCATTACAAACAACATTAGCATTATGAAACAAGAATGAAAGTGAAACAGGTAAATAACAATAAAATGCTTTGGACTTATACTGCCCATCTGTCAGAATTTTGTACTGTGGTGGCTTACATGTTGCTAAAAGTTATGGCACTTGCGTTTCAAATACCAGCAGTGTCACCATGGAGTGAGTCTTCAAGTTGAGCTTCCAGACTGTGGTAGACGAGGAGAAAGGCCTGGCAGTCTGCATCTGGGAACTAGCCAGGAAAATTCTCTGTATACCAACAGAACATTGTTTAGTGTACTGCTGTACCCTCTACGTTGGAAGACACTCAAAGGGTACAGTGGCTGTAACAATGGACTCGAGCCGACTGACAGTTGTGAAGGGGGCCTAGGACCAGGCAATGGTTCATTTTGTTATTGTGGAGTTCTCATGAGTTAGAGCCAAACTGAATGCAATTAACTAGTTGTGAGCTGAAGATCCCACTATTTTCTATTCTGTCTCATCCTGTTTTGTTTTTAAATATTGGTTGAAGCTCATTGATTTCATGAGCCACTACTGAAGTGTGGTCAGAAGTTTGAAAAATAATATTCTCTACCAAGCCCTTCAATGTATGCAGGACTAAGTAACTCCAGACCAATAAACTGGATTAAACTAGGAAGAATTATTATTCATGAGCACACACTTTTCCATGAAAACTGTGCATAGTTGACAAGAACAGTGACACCCTACCAAATCAAGGGTCAGACTTAGAAAACTACAGCCCAATAAAAGGTGGGATAAAGTATGACAATATAATCGGCAGTTATCTAAAATAGCCTCCCAAAGAACCTTTGCACTAAAACCATCTATTTTATTCCTCATCCCCTTACTCACCACTGAGGCAGCTCTTAATAGTGTTATTATCAGGGTTTCTAGCCCACAACCTTTTATAAATAGCAAGCCAAAGGAGGAACGGTGCTGGTGGGCTGTTAGAGGCTGGCACAATGACAGGAAGAAAAGTGACTGCCTGGCAAGAGAGTATAGAGAAAACTAAGAGCACAAAACTGTGTAGCTGAGTAGTATAATTATTCTGATGCACAAACAGATTCTCTTGAGTATCAAAGCTTTCAGTTAAACAGCTGCTGAAGAGGATGATCATCATACTGATGACCTTGAGTGATCAAGAAAATGTTAGGTCAAATTTTTTGTTATCTGCTTAATGAAATTGAAATATATAACTATATATTTAGTTTTATACATTTTTTAGACAGAAAGACTTTTTTTTTGCCATTCAGAAGATGAGATGTCAGCCATCTAAAACACCCCATCTGAAATCCATTTTCTTGAACAGTGCCAAATAAATTTATTTATTTATAAATATATTATTGAATATGCTCTTAGTAAAGGCACACATCAATGGCATAAATGATTAGGTAAAAACATTTTACTAAGTGCCTTTGTCACTGATATTATATATGAATTTAAAGATGCAAGTGTTTACTCTCAGTGAGTTTCAAAGCTTATTTAGGAACAAAAATGCTTTGAGTATTGAGATAAAGAATATATAATCATTTGATGTATCACTTTGTATAAGGAGTAGCAAATACAGGGGTTTCAAACAGTTATGGTAAAATGGAATCCACAGAAAATGGAATTATTTTAACTGAATATTTTGAAGCCCTCACGTACTGTTTTCATCCTTAGTAGTTTCTTTCAAAAGTCAGTTGGGAAGTTTAATTAGGTGAGTTAGTTCATGGATAGCACAAAGGGCCCTGGTGGGGCAGTGGTTATGTATTGTGCTGCTAACCAGCAAGGTCACACTTCAAAACCACCAGCCACGCCCCAGGAAATAGACAAGGCTTTCTACTCCCCTTAAGAATTATAGTCTTGGAAACTCACAGGGACAGTTCACTATGAGTCTAATTGACTCAATGGCAGTGAGTTTGGTTTTTGAGCTTATGGGTGGTACAAATTATTACTAATGTTGATAATGGAAAGATTGGAGGTTCAGTTTTACCCAGAGATGCCTTGAAAGATAGGTTGTAGACGTACTTCCGAAAAGTCAGCTATTAAGCATCTTATGGAACACGGTTCTATTCTGACAAGCATGGCAATGCTATGAGTTGGAATCCATTTGATAGCAACTGGCTTAACTGGTTATTTAACTGAAGGATTTGATTTTTACTAGGGACAACTAGTTGTCATTAATAACGATTTGTACCTGTCAGGGGCTCACTTAAATAAACTACCCAAATAATACCTCAAGTATTAATTTAATTGAAGTATCTATATATGAGGTATTCATTAGATAAAACTTCTCATTTTCTTTTGTATTTATTTATTTCCTACTCATCTCCATAGAAAGAAAGAACAATTAGCAGTTCTAAAGCAAGACATTTGTCTTTTGTTCTTTTCATGTTGCTTGAATTAGAAAACTAATATTCATAAATTTCAAAGGGAAAAGCAAACAATAAAATATGTATATTTTGACTTGGTAAAAAATTAACTACATAGAACCCTATGCCTTGATTAGAGCTGTCGGCACAGCAGATGAACCTGAATCGCTGCTGTAAAAAACTGTGCGAGTTTTTAAATAGGAATACGTTTACTGAATGGCAGCATATGATTTTAAAGTGAGAAGCACCTAATTTTAATAAATGCTCCCTCTAGTGCTGGTCCTCATTTTTGAGTCATTTTCATTTATTTTTGGATTTTAACCAATGTTTAATCTTTAATTATAGAATATGGGTTACTACTCCATGAACAAATATCACCAAGTGCTGAGACCACTGAATTGTACATAATAAGATTTTCATTGCCTTTATAAAACCCAGAAAACAAACCAAAGCAACCAATATTGACTTTTAGCTCTTTATATTTTCATCTATTATACATCTATGTAATTATTATCTTAATGATAAGATTTAGATTTTTTGCATAGGATAGACTAGTCTCTAACATTAAAAAATGGTACTACAGTACACTCCTTTAGGCAATTTATTTTCATTTTTTTATTATTTTAGACATTTTCTTCTTGTGGATGGTGGTGGTATCTATGTATATTCTTATGAAGGACGCTTTATTTCTTCTCCAAAATTTCCTGGAATGAGAACAGATATTCTGAATGCACAGACCGTGTCTCTAAGTAATGATACCATAGCAATAAAAGACAAAGCTGATGAAAAAAGTGAGTACATTCTTATAATTTTCCATGTGAATATTTTACAAATTTCAATGAAAGCTACTAACAATATAAAATTATTGTAAGTTAACTTTTATTTTCTCATCCATGAATATGTTAAACTTAGATGAAAGAATTATGCCTGCTAATTTGTTCTAAACATGAATTAATTAGAAAACTAAAATCGTCATTCTATGCCCAATTGACGCAGCAAATAGGTATTGTTACAACACTAAAGCTCAGTAATAAGGAATAAATATAGACAGTAGCTATTTGAATTCAAGATTGTAGGTCTTAAAAACGCATGATAATTAAAAATTTATTGGTCGATTTTCATATTCCCTTTTCTTCATTTGATAATGTAGTAAACATTGGTTCATTGTGCTATCTTATTTATGCTATCTATATTTTGCATTAACATCTCTGATGAAGTAGAAGAGACTAAGGAATAGTTCTACTTTCTAATGAAATATAGATGATATTGTATTTATCAGTACATATAAGTATGTTGACCATTGTAGGGTTTTCTAGCACGCTTTATTAAAGCGTCCCACTGCCCCAGCTTTAGAAAATATTGGTCTTTCCATTGCAGCACCTTTCATACAAGTAAGGGTGAGATGGAACGCTCTTAAACAGAGCCATTCCATCTCTTCGTGCCTTACGCCTGCTATGAGAGAAGACACTGATAATTCTTTTTTTTTTTAATAGCTCTCCTCTCTAAGAAGGAGGAATAAAGAATAAAATAAAACATTATTCAGTTAGTAGACACATTTAAGATGGTTATGGAATTGCTAATCAGAACCATTTGGAAGGTAAATTTTTATCTTTTATAATCTGAACTTTGAAAATCCCAGTGATCACCATGAATTTTCTATATACATATATATTTTCAATCATTTTATTGGGGGCTCATACAATTCTTATCACAGTCCATCCATTGTGTGCTATCATCATTCTCAAAACATTTTCTTTCTACTTGAGCCCTTGATATCAGCTCCTCATTTTTTCCCCTTCCCTCCCCACTCCACCTCCCTCATGGACCCTTGATAATTTATAAATTATTATTTTGTCATATCTTACACTGTCCAACGTCTCCCTTCACCCACTTTTCTGTTGTCCATCCCCCTGGGAGGAGGTTATATGTAGATCCTTGAAATCGATTCCCCCTTTCTACCCTACCTTCCCTCCATCCTCCAGGTATCACCACTCTCACCACTGGTCCTGAAGGGATCATCTGTCCTAGATTCCCTGTGTTTCCAGTTCCTATCTGTACCAATGTATACATCCTCTGGTCTAGCCAGATTTGTAAGGTAGAATTGGGATCATGATAGTTGGGGGAGGAAGCATTTAAGAACTAGAGGAATGTTGTATATTTCAAAGTTGATACCCTGCACCCTGACTTGCTCGTTTCCTCCCCACGACCCTTCAGTAAGGGGGTGTCCAGTTGCCTATAGATGGGCTTTGGGCCTCCACTCTGCACTCACCATCATTTACAATGATATGATTTTTTGTTCTTTGATCCCTGATACCTGACACCTCCTGGTAACACAGGCTGGCATGCTTCCTCCATGTGGGCCCTGCTGCTTCTGAGCTAGATGGCCACTTGTTTATCTTCAAGCCTTTAAGATATCAGCCACTATATCTTCTGATAGCCGGGCACCATCAGCTTTCTTCACCACATTTGCTTCTGAACACATTTGTCTTCAGTGATCATATCGGGAAGGTGGGCACCCACTGATATGATTTTTTGATCTTTGATGCCTGAGAATTTTCTAATTTTTATTGTTTAATCCCACATATTTTAGATAGAGACTTTCATAAAGTATACCTGCTTCCAACTGAAGGTACCTTATGATCAAGATTCCTGAATGTCTCGGTGTGGGCAAGCGGGGGTTAAGTGGGCATTTCCTTATATTTAGCCAAACTTTTTTAGTTCCCTGCTCCTTACTTGTTCTTTCTGCCAATTTCTGTTAGATGTTAACACTGAAATATAGGTTCGCCTTCACATAGACCAAGTCTACTACAATTGTGTAAAGAAGTAGATAAGTTCATCCACATAGAATTTTATTACAAAGGTTATTAATTTGTCTAGCTATCAACACAACTGAATTTAGCCACACACAAAGCACTTTTTTATCACATGCAGGCCAAGAGTTTCACATTTTTGTCCCTCTATACCAAAAATACCAAAGCCATTGCGGTTGAGTTCATCCTGACGCACAGTGACACCAGAAGGCAGAGTAGAACTATTCCTTACTGTTTCCAAGGCTATAACTCTTTCCAGGAGTAGATTGCCTCATCTTATTTCCAAGGAGTAGGTGGTAGATTCAAACTGCCAACCTTGTCGTTAGCAGTCCAACACTTAATCTACTGAAGCATCAGGATGCTTAAAAATTGTTCGATTCTTTCTTTTTCATTTTCTCCGCATTCTTAGAAATCTGAGAGCATTATTTGTTGTTACAACTTGATTTCCTTCATGAATAATAGACAGTGACCTCAAATTTAACACCCTATGGTTTACTAAAATCTAGAAACCAATGTAGAGTGTGATCCTCTATAATTTAAGTATTATGTATATTTTAACCCTTTATCATCTGTATTGTAAATTGTTGCATTTACATTCCGCTTTTGTCTTTCTGTTTTTATAACGTTTGGGGAGTATGTTCAGTTATTCTAAATTACTCCATTTAGAATGAGTTTTGAGCTGGAATAATTTGGGAATTAGAAAAGAGAACCATCCAAATAGTCCAACACTCTTTTGGAAAGAGGAGGCAATGTCTTTGAGACTGGGAGAAGCCTTGATACTGCGGCAGACAAGCAGGGCAGAGACAGCATCTTTTCCAGGATCCTTTAATCCAATATCTTCGGTCATTTTCACGACTTTACCTACTCCGTTACATCAGGGGAAGTTGGGCTTGGAAAGAGCGACCTTCGGATGATCACCGTTTAGATGAGTGGCTCTCAACCTTCCTAAGGTTACTACCCTTTAATCCAGTTCCTCACGTTGTGGTGACCACGCAGCCATAAAATTATTTTCGTTGGTACTTCATAACTATAATTTTGCTAGTGTTATGAATTGGGCAACCCTTGTGAAAGGGTCACTCGACCCCCAAAGGGGTCACCACCCACAGATGGAGAACTGCTGGTTTAGATAGTGGTTGATATCGTAAAAGTCGATCAAGCTGAGGAGTATTTTGAAAAGGTGAACAGGATCAAAGCTTTTGGAACAATCACGTGTTAAAGGACCACTGTAGAAGGAGGGATAACCAAGGAGAATGAGGCATGGCCTAAGATAGGAAGAAAGCATCGGTGTTATGTGCAACCCAAATAAGAGTTTTATAAAAGAGAAGATGATAAAGGTATCCAATGTTGCTTGGAAGATCAAATGAAAAACGATCTCTTAGGTTGAAAACTAAAATGATATTCTTTTATTTGGTAACATATGGGTGACCCAAGCACGAATGGCTGCATCCGTATAGTGAGGTTGAGAAGCCGTTTTTTATCAGTTGAAGAGTGGCTGCAGTGAGTATTATTTCAGGAAGTTTAGAATGAGAAGCAAAGCAGTAATAATGATTTTGTTGAGACTCGTGTTTGGTAAAGTAGAAAGTCAGCAAAAATGAGGAAGGAGCCCCTCAAGGCGATAGATTGACACAGTGGTTGCAACAGTGGGCTCAAACATGACATTTGGGAGGATGGCCTGGACCAGGCAGTTTCACTCTGTTGTACATGGGGTCTCTGTGAATCAGAACCACCTCAGTGGCACCTAACAACAACATGTGAGAACCAAGGAGACCGGGTGATGCTGTTGGGTAAATGTTGGACTGCTAGTCACAAGGTCAGTAGTTCAAATCCACCAATTTCCCCACTGAACAAGGTTGATGCTCTTTACTCCCATTAAGATGTACAGCATTAGAAACCCTATCTAGGGTCAATATGAGTTGGAATTGACTTGATGATTATGGGTTGGATTTTTGGGGGTGTGAGTGTGTGTTTCTGTGTATTTCAATGATGACTTCAATATGTTTCTATGTTGAGAAGAATGAACCCAAAAAGGAATGTTTAAAGATACAGAAAAAGGTAGACATAGTTCGTAGAATATCTTGGAGGAAGCGAGCCAAAGTAGAAGGATAATGTACAGGTAAAGGACAGAGTGGGCTGTCGTGAGGTGGTTTGGCTAACAAATACCCCCTCGCCTCAGTATATGAGATGAGGATTGGGGATATTATAAGTTAATTTGGTGTTAAATTGAACTGTCACATCAAAAGCTTTTATGGTTTAAAAATATTCTTTTATATTGATGTTATTTTAACTAGTGTTTCATATCTCTTTGATGACTACCAAGTAAATGGTTTATCTGTCTTATTATCAACTCTTGATTATATATGAGAAAATAAGCAATATAGAAATATTTGCCTCACTTTAATATTGGAGCTTATTTCCCAGCTACCATGTTGGACAAGAAATCATTGGTAATAGTTCTCACAAAGAAAAATACTTCAGAAGTAATTCTAAACATAATCAATACAGTTGTTAAAATAACCATTTTGTAAATTGCATTCTCATTCATGTGTATCTTTTTGCCTAGACTCACAAAATTTAGGAAATTTGCTGGATGTCTTAGTTACTTGGTGCAGCTATAACAGAAATACCACAAGTGGGTGCCTTTCACAAACAGAAGTTTATTCTTCTTACAGTGTAGGAGGTAGCAGGCTGAATTTAAGGCGCCAGCTCTAGGGTAGGATTTCTCTGTTGGCTCTACGGGAAGGTCCTTGTCACCTTTCAGTGTCTATTCCTTCCCTGCTCGGTGATCTTCAAGTGGCATGGCACCCGTCTTCTCCCCTCTCTGCTTTCTTGCTTCATCTGCTTTTATTATATCTTAAAAGAGATAAACTTAAAATGCACCCTATATGAATACTGTCATTAACTTAACAATAGAAAGCCCCTCCCAAAATGGGATATATAACCACAGGTATAAGGTTTAGGATAGTTGGGCTTGGGAACACAACTCAATCAGTAGCACTGGAAATATGGAGAAGGATGTTTTAGAATCTCTCCCTGAGGGGTTCAGGGAAATTCTTAGACTGAGACCCAAGTTACCCTGAGTGTTTGTGACAATATTCATTCTCTAAAGACTTTCCCAGCTTGGATCCAAACATTTTGATATTCTAGAACTATGAGTTGAAGACTCCATATCAAGGCCATGTGTAATATAATACTAATGCCTTATGGAGGTTCTCCATTGTTGGTAATATATATTGACAGGGAGCTGAAGAGCACATAATACATTGCCTATCTGTATAGTAAGCACTCAGCCCTTTTTGTCTGTGTAATATGATTGTCTTTGATGTTATATTGATTGAAAACGGAGTAATAAAAATAACAAATCACATCATGATTCATAAATCACCTTAAGCCTTTTGAGTATTAACACTATACTATTAATAACAATTTAATTAAGGAATATATATTTAAAAATTGGTTCATACATGGAAGAAGTACACCAGCTTGTAATATCACAAGGCGTTGAAGGGATCAGGTATCAGGCATCAAAGACCCCCCCCAAAAAAATCATAGCATTGTGAATGAGGGGGGGTGCAGAGTGGGGACCCAGGGCCCATCCATGGGAAATTGGACATCCCCTTGCAGAAGGGCTGCAGGAAGGAGATGAGCCAGTCAGGGTGCAGTGTAGTAACGATGAAATATAAAATTTTCCTGGAGTTCTTGAATGCTTCCTCCTCCCAACTATCATGATCCCAATTCTACCTTACATATCCGGCTGGACCAGAGGATATACACTGGCACAGATAGGAACTGGAAATACAGGGAATCCAGGACAGATGAACCCCTCAGGACCAGTGGTGAGAGTGGCCATAGGTGGAGGGAAGGTGAGGGAGAAAGGGGGAACAGATTACAAAGTCTACATATAACCTCCTCCCTGGGGGGTGGACAGCGGAGAAGTAGGTGAGGGAGACATAGGACAGTGTAAGATATGACAAAATAATAATAATTTATAAATTATCAAGGGTTCAAGGGGGAGTGGGGAAAATGAGCTGAAACCAGCGGCTCAAGTGGAAAGCAGATGTTTTGAGAATGATGATGGCAACATATGTACGAATGTGCTGGACACAATTGATGTATGTATGGATTGTGATAAGAGTTGTATGAGCCCCTAATAAAATGATTTTAAAAATTGGTTCATAAGCAATGTGGCCTGGCCCCATGAATAAATATGATTTTGATGCTGCTGATCTTATGTGTTGAAGGATACTCAGTGATTCAGAGAGTTAACTAATTTCTCATGAGGAATCTGATAATTTCATTGAAAATTACCAATAAAAGTATACTATAGCTAATTCATTTATGTTGTTCCCCCCGCCCCCAAGTTATCTTCCTGTTTGAGGCATCAACTGGGAAACCATTGGGTGATGGAAAACTTCTTTCTCATAAGGTAATGGATATAAAGTATTTCTATTATAAATAATTACTATTTATTTACTTTTTAAACGAAAGAACTATTTTCATTTTAAAGGGAAAAACAGAGAGATTAGTTTTAGATTTTAAATGGGAGTACATTCTACATGAAGTATTTTGTCTAAAAACATTACAATTAAAGACAAAGCACTGGGTAAGGTCTGTGATAACCCATTACCACCTAGTTGATTCCAATGCATAGCAACCCTACTGGATTGAGTGGAGCTATCACATAGGATTTCCAAGTCTGTAAATCTATAAGGATGCAAACAGCCACCCTTTTGCTTGTGGAGTTGCTGATGAATTAAAACCATGGATCTTTGAATTGTCAGTCAACTGCTTAATCACTGTGCCACCGGGGCTTTTGTAAAGTCTGTCAGCAAATAAAACCTAACCCACTGCCATTGAGTTGATTCAAACTTATACTGACCCTCAGAAAATGAAAATATGTTTTTGTTTTTTAAATGTCTTGAGTTGAAGGGAGCCCTGGTGGTGTAGTAGTTACAGGTTGGGCTAGGAAACCGCCAGCCATTCCACGGGAGAAAGATGAGGCTTCCTAGTCCCTGCCCAGAGTTACTGCATTCACGAAATCTACAGAGGCAGCTCATCCCTGTCCCTCAGGGCTGATGTGAGTCAGAACTGGCTAGATGGCAGTAGAGTGCATTTTTTAAAGTTATCTTGTTCTTAAACAGCATTTCCTTTTGCTTTTAAGATTATTGTTAAATTAAAAAAAAAATTTTCCCTAGAGAAGTATAACTTTGAATTGGGAATTGTTTATTGATTTCTGATTTTTAGCTTTAAAGTAAACTTAGGAGCATAGACTAGTTATCCTCCAAATAAATAATATAATAGAGCCAAAAGATGTTTTTAGTATTACTGTTTGTTCCTAATCCAGTGTCACTCTAAATTGTATTTTTTTCTTTTTGTAATTATCTTTTTACATTTGAATAATAGGAATACAGTTCAGATCTTCCCAAAAGAATGACAGAGCCAATTCTAAGGCTTAAGTCTGTCTATTTTTAATTAAATGGGTATTAATTACTATAGGGCAAAGGAGAAGGTTGTAATGGACACAGAGCTGCTTCTGTGACCCCTCACAAAGGAGAGGAATAGGGCAAAAATACGGACAAGTACGGGACAAGAGGGAAAGGGGGAGGGGAGGGAAAGGGCAGCGCCCTGCTAGAGGAAGAGGGAATGGGGTAGGGGTCTCTCCCCACTGTGTACATAGGCGTTAATGTTACTATTCATCTTTGATTTGGGATTTCTTAGGTGGGAGAACCCTATCCAAGGTGAATGGTGTTTGTTTAAAAACATACTTGTATACTGGGTACTTTTGATGGTGATGATAAGCAATTCTTTATGGTGAAGATCCATTTCTCTGAAACGACTTTATTTTGAAAATGCCCATAGTTGTATTTCATGCATCCTTGATATGTGTAGAAGCTTTGTTTCTTTCGTAAAGTAAAAATTGTAGTATATACCCAGGGCAGATGTATTTTTTTAATGTGCTATGAATTGCTGTCTATCTTATACTGATCCATCCACTTGTTTTTCTAAATGTGCTATTGTTAGTATGCCTAGATGACAATTACTTGGGGATGCGATCCTGATTTTAGTTGAATTCAGAGTTTTCAGTAAGTTGTCAAATCTAATTGACAATAGATAAATCTCTCTTGGACTGAATTGGAATGAAACCACAGGTGACATAAAATACTACTCTACCTGTTACTGTCAATATACAGAAATGTATTTTATTAGCTAGTCAAGTAGTATAATAGATTAATGCAAAAATACTTTAAAAAATCATTTTATTAGGGGCTCATACAACTCTTATCACAATCCATACACACATCAATTGTGTAAAGTGCAGCAAAAATACTTTTTTTGTGTGGGAAAAATACCGACCTTACTGTCAGAAGTCTGGGTGTTAAGTTCTGTCTGTGCCTGTTTCTCTGTTTCTCAGCAAGGTCACTGAAGTCGGTATAAGAAAACCTACATCGTGGAGTTGTTTCCTGCTTCACAGGGAATGGGTATTTAAAGAATCTCTAGAAATATAATTACACATATTCTCATAACGTTATTCTTACACATCTTTAAAATATAGGTACTAGGCATCTACTTAAAGTAACTTGTTTTGGGGAGCTCACTGATCACCCCAGACATTTCACGGGATACACAGAATTCTATCATCCTTCCACCCTGTCTCCTAAAGGTCGGCCAGGAGTATATATGGGGGTGTTTATCAGTTTATATCATATCAAAATACATATTGTTTGATTGTATTTTAAAAGGCACTTTCCCCTCTTTCTTTAGGTAAAGTAATGACATTTTATTACAGCTTTGAACTCTTAGTATATCAGTACTTGAAATTATTTAATGGACATTTTCTCATTTTAAGTGGAAGAATGAAACTTGATTGATCTTTTACGAAAGAAATGTTCTAATAGTTAAGTAATTAAAATGAACTAACGTCAAGCACCACAACCCATCCAGTCTTTTTATTTTTAAATTTTAGAATGAAATCTTGGAAATTGCTTTGGATCAAAAAGGACTTACCAATGAGAGAAAAATTGCTTTCATTGATAAAAATAGAGATCTCTACATTACCTCAGTTAAACGATTTGGAAAGGAAGAGCAAATTATCAAACTTGGTAAAAAGAACATGTTTAATTCATTTCAGATCGTATCTTCTGCTTGCTGAGGTCTTTTCTGTAAGCTTGCTTGCTTGAAGGACTGCGAATGTTTTGCTCTCATAACAGTCTCATCTTTGTAGTAGCAAGTTTTTCGCTGCTATAGCTAAATTGGAATTGAAATAATACCAGTAAATTAAAAATATAAGAGCTCTAGCTAGTACATTCAAGTCTTTTCAAACGTCTTATATAAATTTTGGCACATGTTCTCTTCATTATGCAATCAGAAACTAGTCATACCTACTAGAAATTAAATTGGACTTTTTATGCCAGCTGATCATTCATTTATTTTTGCTGTATTTTCCACCATCCACTACTATCCACTCACATACACTTCTTTATTCACTCCCCTCGAGTGGGTTATACAGTCATCAATGCTATCAGCTGCCCCTCCCCTCCTCCCCCCTCCCTCTCTTCCGGTGCCCTCAGGGCTGTCATTCTGATGTTTGGGGCTATAAGGGGTTGAGAGGGTGGGCAGTTTGACCATCTTGCTGCCATTGTATGCCAGCTGATTTTTAAAGAAGCTTTTCAATGTTTTTAAATTGGGACTAATAATACAGTAACATTCTTTTAAAATTAAGGAACCATGGTGCATACGTTGGCGTGGAGTGATACTTGCAATATCCTCTGTGGACTTCAAGATACTCGTCTTACAGTGTGGTATTACCCCAATACAGTGTATGTGGACAGAGACATTCTGGCCAAGACCTTACATGAAAGGGATGCAAGGTAACAATTGCTGCGTAGAGTTCTATTTATTGTGCTAGACAAAAGTCCAACAGAATTGTGATTAAACTGCTAATATTGCTAATCCTACATGGAGTGATATGCTTCTGCCACTAATTAAAGTACTTTTCACTTTAATTGGATTCAACTACATAAATTGTCAGTTTAAAGCTAGTTAAATGAGATTTAAGTGATGGAATTAGTTGAAAATAATGTATAATCCAAACTATTTGTCCTTTATAGGAATAAAACTTTTAAGGTTAATGTTATTTTCGTGGTGACCCAGTGGTAATTTTTTCAGTGTAGTTTAGTGGTTTTAATATAGGCACTCTGAAGATTTTTCAGTGATGCGTACAGCCTTCTGACAATCAGTGTGTCATTGATACTGAGACTTTTGGGAGGGCAGGTGTTACTAGAATTGCTTTTTAAAGTTGGTATTAGAAATGAAGGGGCAGAGGGCTATTGGAAAGTGTAGGGTTTATTTATTTTTTTAATTCTTTATATGCCTTTAGAGAATCAAATGCATTTATATTCTTGAGTTCTCTTTAAAAAAAGCAAGAAGGTCTTGTACTTTTGACAATATACTTTTGACAGAAGACTTTTCTACTCTATGCATTAATTTAGCTTTTCGGTTTAAGTTCATATTTAATATTTAAGTTCACATCTTAGCAAAAACAGATAGGCAATAGCTTATTTTTTTAAAGCAGTTGAACTAATGAACAGATGTTAGTTTCTTTATTTAAAGTTCATTATTTTTGATGATTGCACAGCACTTCTTGATGTGATTGAACCATTGAATAGTATATGTATATTATATGCCAATAACCTGTTGAACAAACAAAAAAAAGGTTTAGTCTCATAAACTCCCAGGGGCAGTTCTATTCAACCCTACAGGGTTGCTATGAGTTGAAATCAACTCAATGGAAGTGTATGGTTTTGTTTTTAACGCAAGCATGTATTAAAACTGATATTTTTCTATTAAAAAATAAAGTTTGCTATTTTTTATGAGAAAATCTTGGAATTTAGTTTAATTTTTATTTTCTGTACATTTTTATACATTTAAAAGCTAAGATGCAAAGTGATTTTTTATAATTTACAGTGGTTTACCTTTAAATTCTCTGTCACACACATGAGGTAATTTCAAATGCTTTTAGGAATGGCTCTCAAGTGTGTAATGATTTTTGCCACTTTAAACTGTTTTAATATTTTACTCCAAATATGTATAGCAAGTTGGATTCCAATGTCTGTGGAAAGATGTACATTTTTCCTGAAGTTACGTAACTCTCACGCATTTGGGAGTTGGAGACTTCATATGTATGTTAGGGGCCCACGCCTCAAATTTAATATAGTTTACATATACATTTTTTTCTCCAAATAGGACTTTGACTAGCACTTCACTCTTTTTTGACAGTGACTTCAGTAGAAACCCTCATATTGTGAGTTTTGTTGGAAATCAGGTCACTGTAAGAAGAGCTGACGGCTCCCTGGTTCACATCAGCATTTCACCATATCCTGCCATACTCCATGAATATGTAAGCAGTTCAAAATGGGAAGATGCTGTAAGGCTTTGCCGCTTTGTCAAGGTATTTTGCATTTCAAAATCCATGGCGATACATCTGCTGTGTACTGGGTTACCAGTGTGCTAGATGGGAAATGAATACAGTAAAAGGTCACCATGAATTGAATTGACTAGATGGCAATTAAGAAGCGGTGGTGACCTAATGGGTTATGTGTTGGGCTGCTAATCTCAAGGTCAGCAGTTCAAATCCATCAGCTACTCTGAGGGAGAAAGATGAGGCTTTCTGCTCACTGAGTTTGAATCGACTTGATGACAGTGAATGAGTGAGCGAGTGAGTGAGGGAGTGAGCGAGCGAGTGAGAGATGGAAGCTAGCAGCAAGTAATCTTGGATGACACAAATGGTTCGCACTCGACTACTAGAGTAAAGTTTAGACTCACCCAACAGCACCGCAGGGGGCAAGACCTGGCAATCTGCTTCCATAAAGACACCAGCCAAGTAAACCCTATGGACCAGCTCTGCTCGACAGCACATAGTTTTTTGGCTCTATTTTCAATATTTTATTTTTGTTGTTTAGAAAACTCACAGTAGAATATAACGCCAATTCAACAGTTTCTATGTGTACCATTCAATGACAGTGATTACATCCTTCAAGTTGTGCAACTGTTCCCCTCCTTTTCTAGTTGTTCCGTTTCCATGGATACAAACTTACTGCCTTCTGAGCTTCCTGTCTAAATCTCTGTTGTCAATTTGATCCCCTATAGACAGATCTTAAAAGAGCACAATGCTAAAAGCAGACATTATTTAGTAGTAAGGTAAACTATTTGGTTGTAAGAAGAACATATCTTTGGTTTAAGGTTCCAAGTGTGACTGTTATCTCTAGGCAATAGTTTCAGGGGTACCACCAGCCTCTGACTTCAGAAAGTGTGAGGCTCATGGGAATTTGAATTTATGTTCTGCATGTCCCTTCTTTTGGTCAGAATTCTTCTATAGAATCTTTGATCAAAATGTTCAGTAACAGTAGCCAGGCACCTTCCAGTTTTCTAGTCTCATGGCAAAGACGACAGTTTCTGAGAGCAATTAGCCAGACATTTCATATCCTCCTCCTGTTCTTGACCCTCCTTCCTCTGTTACTCCAGGTAAACAGATACCAGTCATCCATTCGTTGGTCTTTGCAAGCATTTATTAAGAGTACAGGTGTTAGCCTAAACTAGTTTAGTTTTTCGTAAAGGGCTGGAAAACAGAATGGTGATGCCGTTTGAGAAATAAAGACAGGAGTGATACAGGCAAGATGATAAATATTCCTGTGTAATTTAGTCTTTGAAGTAGCTTTCCTTAAAGATTTTCTGGGGCATGATGGCTACACACTTGGCGGTTAACCAAAAGGTTGGCAGTTTGACCCTACTAGTGAGTCTGTGGGGACAAAGACCTGGTGACCGGTTCCCATATAAAGTTCTCTTAAAATAGGAAGTCCTTGGGGAAGGTGGGTATCGTTCAGGGCTGTTACGAGTTAGAATGGCTATGATGGCGTAGAACACAACAGCGATCCTTTCTCCATACTGGCCTTGTAAAATCATCCCCGGAGCGGTTTTTCTTTTCTGTTTAAAAATCTTTTTCTAATTTTATTTATTACTAATTTGGAGTTAATACATATATCATTCTTTAGTTCAATCCCATCGGGCAGAGTTGTACAATTGCTACCACAGGCTGAGCTTTTTTTTCAAGTCTGGTTCCTCAGAGATTCTGGTTGATTAGATCTGGGGCCAGACCCGGGCATTTTACATGTCTCGGATGATTCTTGCGTACAGTGCATTTACGAGCCCCTGCTGTAGCTGAGCCTTTCCAAACTTAGATGAATCCAGCATTTTCCAAACATGTTTGGCCACAGATTTCTATTATTGAACATCAGCTAGCATCTCTTAGAATATACCTTTGTGAAATGACTTTTAATACTTTATCTTACAATGGGTTATTTGTAGAAATCTGCCATTTGGTGTTGTCAGGTAACCCCACTATTTCCCTGTTTCCTGTAAATTATATTCTTTGATACTTCATCAACAGGCTAGAAGGTTTATAACCTTGAATTGTCTTAAAAGTATCTTTTAAGTTCAGAAATTTATCATTGATAATTAAGTATAGAACATTTCAGAAAATGTTATTCAAAGTAAGTTGTTGATGTGCTAATATATTTTTACAAAGTGACCACAATGTATTTTCCATATAATTAATTTTTTTCAGTGCTATGCTTATTAATTTTAAACCTTGCTGCCAGTCAGAGAACAATCTGAAGTTGATTGTGGTGATGATTGCACAACTCTTCTGAATGTGATTAAATGCTTAAACTAGTCTCAAAAAATTAGACCTAATTTTATTGCTGTTGTTGTTAGGTCGTGTTGAGTCCTCTTTGACTCAAGCAAAGCATGATGGAGTAGAACCGCTTGCTGGGTTTTCTCGGCTGTCAACTTTAGGGAGGCCGACTGTCAGGTCTTTCATCTGGCAGCTGCTGGTAGTTCACATCACCAACCTTTGAATTAGTAGCCAGCATTTCATATAGGAGCTGGAAGCTCTTTATACTTTTATTATGGGTGTTTAAATCATTGTTTATTTTTAGGCAATTTAGCATTAGAGTTGAGATCATTGTTCTCATGTTTAACCTTAGGAACAAACCATGTGGGCGTGCCTGGCTGCCATGTCAGTTGCTAACAGAGATATGACTACGGCGGAAATAGCCTATGCAGCAATTGGTGAAGTAAGTAAACAGTCTTGACATACGTGTGGTGTGGGGTGTGTGGGGGTGGGAGGATGGGATGTTCTTCCTATAATTTGTCACGTCTCTCTTACTAACCATTTCAAATATTTTTCTTTATTTAGATTGATAAGGTTCAATACATAAATTCCATAAAAAATCTTCCATCTAAAGAATCAAAAATGGCCCACATACTAATGTTTAGTGGGAACATACAGGAGGCTGAAATAGTACTTCTTCAGGCTGGTCTTGTATATCAAGCGATCCAAATCAATATTAATCTCTACAACTGGGAAAGGTAATAAAAATGCTTTTTATTCTAAAATCTGACTAATCTTAATGCATTCCTCCACCTGCCATGTAACAAATTACATTTTCACTGTATTTAATAGTTTCTTCCCTCCTGGTTTGTCAGTGGCTTGTGTGTCACTGTAATGCTGCCACCAATAATTCAAGCAGGGCCACTCATGGTGAACAGGTTTCAACAGAGCATCCCGACTAAGAACAGGCTGGGAAGAAGGAAGAGGCTGCCCACTTCTGAGTGACATAATGACTGGCAGTGGGACATTGTGTGATGCAGTGCAGAAAGAGGTGTCCCTCGGGTTGGAAGGGATTCCAAATGCATCATGCTGGATAAAGCAGAGGGTTTGTGAAAAAGAGAAAGGCCTTTCACAAGATTGACTGCCATGGTGGCTGCAACAATGGGCTCAAACCTAGTCACACGGGACTGGATGGACTTTTGTTCTGTTGTACAAAGGGTTGCTGTGAGCCAGAGCCAACTTGACAGCGCTAACAACAGGAGCAATATTTTACCACTACCACGGAAGAAGTTAGTGATACTTACATTTGGGAGTAGTTTGCCGTTAAAGATAGCTACCTTCTTTTGATCTTGTGGTTGATTAGAATTCAGGAGTATAAAGATGAGAAGGGAATGTAGCCTATTTCTCAAATTTCTGATTTGAGTAACTCATCAAATGGTGGTACAATTAGCAGACGTGGTAGGGAAGATTTCAGTTTTAGCTAGGTTGAATCTGAAATATTTGTGGGGAGCTAAGTGATAATCGTTGATTTGCTGGACCTCATAGGGAAGGTTTCCTCATGAACTGGAAATGTAGATTCAGGAGTCAACAAGTGGATGGTAGCTAAAGCCTGAAGGATGGATACAATTGCTTGGGCGTTGTATAGAATAGGAAGGTATCAAATGCATTTATGTGATGGGTGCAAGGAGAGAAGTCCACAGGAAGATTGGGATAAAGCAATCAGGCAGGCAAAGAGGAGCCAAGAGAGCTTTGTGATGCTATGGAGGAAAGAAGGAAAGGTTTTTAGTGAGACGTGATCTACTGCATTCAGCTCTGGGACAGGTTGCTTTCCGAGACCGAGTAGCAGACTACTCTCTCTCTCTATGGCGCCTTTGGTTCCTCCACACATCTTTCCAGGAACGTGTCTGTCAGTGAACTAGGTTGTAGTGCTTGTATAGTCCTGCAGGGACTATGCTATAGAATTGGCATATTCCTTTCATGTTTTCTTTTTCTCTGAGCTTACAAGCACTCCCATATTTATGTCTTTCAATTACAAAAACCTTGAATATCCTATATTTCCCTTGAATAGAAGTAGTCATAATGATGGCAGATGGTAAATTATGTAACTGACATACTAGGGTCTATTTAATTTATGCATTAATTATATATACTACTCATATAATTTTGCCACCCTCTTTTTGTCCTTTGTCTATACAGATTCATTATTATTGGTCAGCTGTTTAAGGGATTATGAAAGATGTTTGCTAACTGTACAAAAATGAACAAGCCATTGTTCTTTGTCCTTAGTTTATTCATAATTCATAAGAGCTGAAATAATTGTCTTAGAAAGAGATAGAGTATGAATAATAGTGCTGTGGGTTAGGTATGAGCCTGTGAACCTGAGGTCAGTGGTTCACAACCCACCAGCCACTATAGGAAAAGATAGGCTATCTATTCTCTTATATTGTTTTGCTGGATTGTTCTTTATCTCTTTCACTTTGCAGATATTTATGTCATCTTTCTCTTTTCACATTATAAACTCCTTGAAGGGCGGAAGCATTTTATCTTATCTAGTCACAAAAAAACATAAAAGAAACTCACTGCCATTGAGTTGATTCTGACTCATAGCAACTCCAGGCTAGAACTGCTTCTGTGGGTTTCCAAGGTGGTAACTCTTTACAGCAGCGGTTCTCAACCTTCCTCATGCCACCACCCTTTAACGCAGTTCCTCATGTTGTGGGGACCCCCAACCATCAAATTATTTTAATTGCTGCTTCATAACTTTAATTTTTTACTGTTATGAATCATCATGTAAATATCTGATATGCAGGATGTATTTTCATTGTTAAAAATTGAACTTAAACATAGTGATAAATCACAAAACAATATTTAATTATATATTGTGAAATATTTATTTCTAATGACAAATAAATGAAATTTTGTCTTGAAGCATGGTGTAGCATGGGTAAGAGTCTTCACGCTGGGTACTTGTATGTGGGCGTGTCTGCATGTGGGTGGACCCACCTGGAGACAGATAGAGGAGCTGTGTCTGGTTCCTAAGACCATCGGAAATCTGTGTTTTCCGGTGGCCTTAGGCGACCCCTGTGAACGAGTCCTTCGACACCACCACAGGTTGAGAACCGCTGCTTTATAGGAATAGAGAGCCTCACCTTTCTCCTGCTGAGCAGTTGGTGTTTTGAACTGCTGACCGTACAGATAGCAGCCAGATGAGTAAATCACCACATCACTAGGGTTCCTTATCTCTTTATAGTAGGTACTTTTTGATTTTTATCCAATGTTCTTACTCACTTGGCAGTGCTCCTCTAGAAATATTTATCAAACGTTTACTATGTGTCAGTCAGTAAACGTTGGTTGACCCATGGTCTGCTTATCCTTTAAGACCCACTTGAAGTGATCTCTCCCAGGCAATATTTATAATCAACAGCATTTAAATAGCAATTAAAGATAGTACATGCAATAATAGTTATGTTCTTTTAATGGATTCTTGTTATCCTTTAATGCTCCTTTCAGATATTTATGTTATCTTGTCCTTTCTAAAAGGGTCCTGGTGGTCTAATGGTTAAGTGCTTGTCTGTTAACCAAAAGGCTCAGTGTTTTGAGCCCCAGCCACTCGGGGGGAGAGAGATGTGGCAGTCATCTCCCATGAAGATTACAGCTTTGGAAAGCGTATGTGGCAGTCCTAATCTGCAGGGTTCCTATGAGCCAGTCAACTGAACAGTAATGGGTTCTGTTTTGCTGCCCTTTTTCCCTCTTCTATATTTTAAGTTCCTCAAGGGTTAGAAATATTTTGTAATAGCTGTAGGGTTGCTATGAATAGGGTGCAGCTCAACAGCAACAAGTTTGGAGTTTTTGTTTGTTTGTTTGTTTGTTTGTTATACGTGATAGGGAGGGCAGTGATGATTCAGTGGTAGAACTTTCACCTTCTATGGGAGTCCCAGGTTCAATACCCAGCCAATGACCCTCACATATAGCCAGCACCTATTTGTCAGTGAAGGGTTGAATGTTGTTATGCTGCTGAACATGTTTATTTTATTTTGTTATTATTTTTCAACATGTTAAAACAGAACATCCTGAACAAAGGGACTAGAAGGGAAGGCCTGACAATCTTCTGAAAATTAGTCAGAAACTCTGTGGTGTTTCCAACGAAACTCTATGGATGACAGCATCCTGGTTTTGTTGTGCATGGGGTTGCCATGGGTTGAGAGTAGACTTCAGGGCAGCTAACAACAAAATGCATGTTATATCCACAAACCAACCAAATCCACTGGCATCAAGGCGATTCTGACTCATAGTGATTCTGATTCATAGTGACCTTCAGCAGGGGTGATGGGGAACAGTTTTTATACCGTTTTTTTTTAATATTTATAAAATCATTCTTGGACCACATTGGTCAAACATTTAATTACCGCTACTATGTTGGCGGAACTGCTTCTCATTGGTTCCCCGGTGATGTTAGCTGGGAGGAGGATTCTGTTGACCTTAGATGGCCCGAGGGCCAGACGTTCTTCACTCCTGCTGTCTGGGGTTTCAAAGACTGTACATCTTTGTGGGAGCAGGCAGCCGCATCCTTCCCTCGCAGAGCGGCTGGTGAGTTTGAGCCATCCAGCTAGTGCTTAGCAGCCCACTGTTAGATACTGAATTTTTATTTCTGAATGAATGATTCATGGATTGATGAAAATTTATATACAATTCAAACCATATAAGTGATGTCTTAGGCAGTATATAGTTACTGATGACGTCAAAAGCTCTTACTGCCATAGAATCAATTCTGACTCAGTGGCCCTACAGGACAGGTTAGAACTGCCCTGTGATTTCTGAGACTGTAATTCTTTATGGGAGTAGAAAGCCTCGTCTTTCTCCCTTGGAGCAGCTGGTAGTTTCAAACTTTTGACCTCATAGTTTACAGTCCAGTGTGTGACCTATTATGCCAACAGATCTAATTATGAGTAGATTCAATAGTAGGTCCTCTAAGGAAAGCATCTAGGAAATGATTGCCCACTTTACATTAAAAACTTGCTTGTGGTTGATTCATCTGTCCCTGATATTAATATACTTATAAAAAATATTTGTTAGATATGAACTTATCTGCCTATCATTTTAATTGCTATTCCTCTCATACTATTCTAAGTATAACTTCATTTCTTTTAGGGAATTGAGAAATAATTCAACCCTGTATCATTAGTCCTAAAAAAGACCCCCAAAACCATTATCATTGATTCTTACTTATAATGACCTATAAAACAGTAGGACTGCTCCACCAGGAGTGACTACAAATCTTTACAGAAGCATACTTTGAAGTTTTAAAGAAATCTGATGAAGGTTTTCCCAGCTCCGAATGTTTCATGCTTCTCCTGCAGAGCTGCTGGTGGGTTTGAACCACTGACACTGTGGGTAGCTTAACTCACTGTGCCACTGGGCTTTGATATTGATCCTAGGCTTTTAAAAATCTCTAATGTCAAAATTGCCCCTTTGCTGCTCAACTTCTTCATTTTATTTTATTTTCGTTACGTCTGAAATACGAGTCATCATCTTTCTTATTTGCATTCTTGTAACATTTCCAGTTCTTATCTCCAGTCTAATTTTTCATCTTAGTTAACCATAAGTGCTTATTTGATCTTTCTGTCTGGTCTTCCTCTTCTACGTATACACTTCCAGCTGTGATACCAGTCTTCTGTTCTCCTTCAGCTTTCACCTCTCACTCTCTACTGTTCTCATGTTTGTCTCTCTCATCCCATGAT